TTTAAATAAATTTGATTTGTTTTCTGGTTGTTTCTGTCTGTTTGGCTTCCTGGTCCTACGACCGGTTCTGCTGAGGGTCCTGCAGCGTCCAGCAGGATGTGGAGGATTCACAGAGCGGCGATGTTCCTGATGGCCTGAATGTGTTCCAGTAGGAGAAGAAAATGCTGAGGGGACACTTTGACACTTCTGTGTTGACACACAGAGGAAAAGCTTTCAGGACTGAGGGGGAGGACAAATGGACTCTGTGACAGGGCCAGTCAAAGTGTCCTCCCCCAGCTGCAGCTTGCCGGTCCTGATGGATGTTTTAATGTCCAGTCCAACTGTCCCTGCTTCAGTCTCTGAATGCTTTATTAACACAACCTGAACGAGACCATGACAGGAACTTAGAGCTGCACCCTCATTTTATTTGACAGCTTTATTCAAACTACAGTTCCCAGGAGCCTCTGCTGTCAGACTGACTTACAGCAGCACTGACACMACCATCTGCCGGACCTTTAGGACTTCTATTGAACCAAAAACAATAAAGTATTTATAGAAGAAGCAGCTGTACGAATGAATTCMCAGGTCAGAGGTGTTAGTGAGAGGGCACAGAGTGTCAGAGTGAGTGYCACAGAGAATATCACTGTACCAATCCACCCGTTTCCAGCTAAGGACAATGGCCTCAGATTTAGAGCAGCTGATCCTCATGCCACCTGTGAATCACTCATGGCACTTTGATGCCAACAGAACCACATCATCTGCAAACAGCAGAGATTGAATCATGWACCYGCCGAACAGGACTCCCTTCGCCCCCTGGCAGGTGACAACGAGCAACCCTGGTGGAGTCCAACTCCCTTGCGATGTTGCAAAAGTGTGTCAACCAAGGCAGCCCTACAATATCCAGAGCCTTGAGGTAAATCAGGGCAGATCCACAGTCCAAGATCATCCACTCCTGGAGCCGTGCTAACATGGAGCTTTTTAACTACCTCAGCTCCAGTTATCGACGGACAAACCCTGAAGTCTGTAGACTCTGCTTCCTCCCTCCATWGAAGACTTGCCGGTGGGATTGAGAAGGTCCAAGAAGTACTCCTTCCACCTCCCAAAGACATCACTTGTTGAGCACAYCACTGAGCAAAGTGTTAGTACAGTGCTGCTTCTCCCGCCTCAGACGCCGGATGGTTTGCCAGAAACTCCTCGAAGMCAAACCTCACTGAACTCCTCCCACATTTACCTTAATAACATCCAGAGCTGCAGCCTGCTTGGCCTGCAGGTACTCCTCAGCTGCCTCTAAGTCCTACCAGCCAACAAGGCCAGATAGCACTCCTTCAGTTTGACAGCCTCCCTTACCTGGGGTGTCCACCACCCAGTTTGAGAATGGCCACCRTGAGAAGCACTGACAACAACGTGGCCACAGCTCAAGGCAGCTGCTTCAACAACTGAGGCATGGAACATGGTCCACTCAGACTCAATGTCCTTGGCCTGGATGTACAGTAAGTTGATGATCTTTCTGACAGATTCTTCTGCCAGGTGTCATCAGCAAACCCTCACTACATGTTTGGGTCTACTGGGTCTGTCCRACATCTTCCCAGTCATCCGATCCAACTCACTACCAGGTGATAATCAGTTGACAGCTCAACTCAGCTCTTCAACCGAGTGTCCAAAACATGCGACCACCAATCATCGATCTGTGACCTACAGTGTCCTGGTGCCACATGCACTTATGGACACCCTTATGTTGGAACATGGTGTTTGAGATGGACAAACTGTGATGAGCACAGAAGTCCAACAACCGAACACTACTCGGGTTCAGATTGGAGAGGCCGTTCCTCCCAATCGCTCTCCAGGTCACAATGTCATTACCCACGTGGGCATTAAAGTCACCCAGCAGAATAAAGGAATCCCCAGTTGGAGCACCTTCCAGCACCCCCACTAAGGACTCCAAGAAGACTGGGTACTCTGAATAATCATTTGGTGCGTTGGCACAAATGACGGCCAGAGCCCGTCCCCCCACCCGAAGGTGCAGGGAAGCTACCCTCTTATCTACTGGGRTAAACTCCAACACACAGGCACCAGCTCAGCACCTCTCACCATGGGCAACTCCAAAGTAGAATAAAGTCCAGCCCCTCTCATGGAGATGGGTTCTGGACTCCATGCTGTGCATTGAGGTGAGCCCAACTATATCTAGCCGGTACATCTCAACCTTACACACAAGCTTAGGCTCCTACCCCACCGGAGAGGTGATATTCCATGTCCCAAGAGCCAGTTTTGGTAGGCCAGGGTCAGAGCCCCAAGGTTGGTGCCTTTGGCTACTGCCCATGGCATCATGCACCCGACTCGTATGGCCCCTCCTGCAGGTGGTGGGCCCACAGGAAGGTAAATCCCTGTAGCTCATTTGGCCTGAGCCCGACCAGGCCTGGCTTCAGGGTGGGGCCCCAGTAACCCATGTCCAGGCAAGGGACACTAAGTACCTTGATATATTTTATCCATTAGAGTCAGTCACCCTACCAGACTTCACAGATCGTTCCCCCATCTCTAACTCCTCCACCACGATTAGGTGAAGATTCAACTGAGGAGTGAAAGTAATACTTCTATTAAAAAATTACTTTACTGACAGTTTTGTGTAAAATAATACATAAAAATATACATGAACAGATTAACACTTATTTTAAAGAAACTCTTCACAAGTTATCAACATGCTTACAGAGAAAAATGTTCCACTGCAGCTGCTTTAACTCAGGACAGATGACTGTTATGGGAAATGGAAAACAATAATATAATTGGAGTTGTGTTACTTGATTTGTCAGCAGCCTTTGACATTATTCATCATAAGCTTTTGTTGAAGGAACTTCAATCGTATGGCTTTGTAGAATCAGTATTACAGTTCATCAGTCGTTATCTTAGTGACAGGAGATAACTTAACTGGTCTATGACAGCTGCTATTCAGACAATACGACTGTAAAACATGGAGTCCCACAAGGCAGGTGTCTTGGCCCAATTCTATGGCTGTCTCAATTCAATTGAGACATAGTTTATATAAAAGATTTACAAACAACTTGCCATCAGAGCTAAACAAAGCAAGCAGGCATCTCAGTGATGTTTAGAACACACGATAAGAATGAACGTGTTGCTTTAAAACTCTTTGTAAACGTAAACAACCCCAGGTAGCTGATGTAGCATGATGCTAATGCTAATGAGGATCTCAGTGAACAAATATAAACTCCATGATCATCATAATCATTTCATCATCAGTCAACAGTTGTTGTGGAAGCAGTATCTGGTTCTGGTTCTGCAGAATCAGCAGCATCATGATGTGTTTTTACAGTTGAAGTTCTGAGGTTCTGTTGGATCTCTGAGTCTTTCTGCTGATGCTGCTGGTTCTGAGATCTGAGTGAGGAAGAGGAGCTGAGACATCTTCCTCTGCTTCACATAAAACCAGCTTTTCCTGCACTTCAGTGTGTGTGTGTTGTGTGTGTTGTGTGTATTGTGTGTGTTGTGTGTGTTGTGTGTGTTGTGTGTATTGTGTGTGTTGTGTGTGTTGTGTGTGTTGTGTGTGTTGTGTGTGTTGTGTGTGTTGTGTGTGTTGTGTGT